TTAGTTTAATTCTCCGTGCTGCTGTCAATCTTGTAATAGATGGATTAAGACAGTTAATAGGAAATCTCTGGCTACAGCACGTTTGGAACTCTCTTTCCATCACATCGTGTGATAACAAATCCAGAAGGCACAGCAGAGCTTCATAATTTCCCCTTCCTGGCCCCATAAAAAGAAAGAAATAACTGCACGCAGTAGAAGATGATGCTCTGACTGAATGAAAGTTGAAGAACTGCATGAGCGTAACCATCTTCAGTAAATGTAATACATGCATTGTCTGCAGCATAGATCAGCTGATATTTCCTAAGCAGAGTTAAGATCTACTCAGAGTAGCTAAACAAGGCATCATCCTGTCCCTCCAGCTTCACTCCCACATACAGTGCAGGCCTATACTGCAACTGATAGCTATGCTTGTGACTGATCATAGACAAGATGAAAATACCATTTAAGTTCTAATCAAGGCAGTATAAAAGTCACACTATTCACAGCTTTATTATTGTCTTTGATTTAAAAACAAACACTCAAATGCAGAAGAAAAACATCACTTAAAGTGAAATTTTACGGCAGATCTCACCATAAGTTATGAAAAAGGTCCACAACAAAAGATAAATTAAAATTTAAAAAGGTAACAGACTACATGCCACTACAATGACTGAATATTACTAAGAATTTTACTTCTGTTGACCTTTCGTGATTTCATCCAATAGATGCAATAGTTTTGCAGCATGGAGATTAAGCCTTGACCATTAAATGCCCTTAGCCATCCATTTCCTGAAACCAAAAAGGCACATGGCTACTGCACACTTGGACAATTTTCTTGACCTTTTCATGCAAGTATATTATTTGGCTAAGAGTCACAGCATGGAACAGTTCGAAAATTATTATTGGGCTGATGATTTTGACACCTTTTGTAATGTCTCACCACCGTAGTAAGTGAAAGGCACCACATTAGCAGGGGAAGGTTTGGCTAAATATGTAGCCAGGTCTGAGTCAAACTAGTGATACTAATTGTAACTGGTTCCAACCGATATAACTTTATCAAAAATTTAGATTATATGGAAGACTTGATGCCAACACTATCCCATGTAACCCAGCTGCAGAGTTGCCACAGTTGTTAAGTCATACATTAGCTGCTCCAAAGCCATACACCATCTAAGTGTCATAGGTTGGCCATCCTTCCCAGTAAAGCCTGTCTCCACATGAAGATTGGATGTCTTTCTGGAGGATGACAAAACACGAAGACTTGCTGCTTTTTTATTCACTTACAATATAATTAAAGAAAAGAATCACCACTTTTAAACATAATTTGGTATCCTTCCAGTCTCCCATTACTTCTCTTTTGTCTCTAGACTGGACATCCTGTTTAAGTAGGTATTTTTGCTTTCTGAAACAACTTATACACTGGAATTACTGCTTTATCCCGATTATCTCTTCAATAAGCTAAAACAGATCCATTCTGCCTTAGACACAAGATTAGACTGCATAAGCAGAAACATTCTACAAGACAAAGGAAGTTATTATGCCACTCTGTTTGGCACCTGTGAAACTACAATTGAATTACAGCACATCCACTTTTGCCACCCCTAATGCAACAGAAATACTGATAAACTGGAGATAGTCCACTGAAGAACCACCGAGATGGTTAAGGATGGAGAATGTGGCAGGTGAGGTTAAACTAGTGAGCTGAATTTGTGTAGTATAAAGAATAGATTGCTAAGTGGGAACTAATTGCTCTCTTCAATGACCTAATTGGCATTTATTGAGAAGGCAAAGATAAACTCTTTCCAGAGATGCACGACATACTGACAAGGAACAACAGATACAGCTTGCTACAATGGAAATTCCAGATAGATGTAGAGAACAATTCTTGTTCTAAGTGTGATTAAACACTGAAACAGCTTATCTGGAGAGGCTGTGGAACATCCACCCTTTCAGACTTTCAGGCCTCACATGGAGGAACCCTGGAGTAACCTAGTCTAAGTTTGAAGCAACACTCCTTTGAAGACGTCAGATTAGATGAGCCCCAGAGGTCCCTTCCAACCTAAATTGTTCTGCGATTCTATGTTCTTCAGCCAGAGTCACTTTTTTGCTTTTCCCCAGGACCCTTCCTAATTTGTTGATATTGTTAAAACCTACGGACAAGACCATAACCTGTAGTGATACAGATTTCATATCATCAGTACAACTGGAGGAGTTTAATTAAGTAAAGTAAGTGACTTCCTTAATCTTGCTCTATATTCATCAGAATTTCAGTCCCTTTACATTTACTCTACCCTTGGGACTTTGGTTCAACTTTTTGGCTCTATGATCCCAGGGTCCAGCTTCTTCTTAAGCAAGTATGTACATTTAGAAACTGTCCACTGATGTACAATTTCAGATTTTGCTGTGCAACAGTAGGCTGAACATGTCCCACTGAACAAGTGACCCAGGTGATTCCATTCTTTTTTGCCATATACAAATTAAAAGAACTTCTTTACAGTACCCTTCATAAAGAAGCTTGACTTGGAACATGCTTCCTTCAGTAACACCTTTGTCAGTCTTCCACCCCTTCAAGCTTTTAAGAAGGTATTCAATTTACATGGTACAGGTGCTTTTTTGTTTTCCCTAAGAAGGCTGCAGCAAGGCATAACTGCATTACATGTACTGAGTGCTTATGCCAAACAACTGTGTTCTAAAACAAATGTAGTATTATTCTAGATATAATTTTACTTCCATATTTAGTATTTTTCTTTTAAAAATATATATTTCCATTAAGCTTTTTTGGCATTTTTTTTCCTCTTCATTTCCTGAATTTTTTATTTAGGTCATCCTTCCTGAGCTTTTTTAAGCAAGCAGTCTTCCAGGACTTCAGGAATTTCTTTTGTATTTTAAGAGTTCTTGGTGCGGGACAACACACCTCAGATGAAAAAATATTTTCAGCCATTTTTTAATTATTTAATAGACCTCCTGGGTGCAAGTTACGAAGACCTTTTAATAGCTTCTGCTTAGAAATGTCTGTCATGGACTCTTCTGTTGTAACTTCTAGATTAAGTACCTTAGTCACCTGCAAGATACTCACCCACCCCACTTCTACCTAAAAAACAAACAAAAGTAGTCACTGTAATATCCTGTCCTTTCCACTTCACTAAAAACCATGGTACTATTGTCACCAACATGACTAATAAAAGAGAAGAAAGAATCCTAGCAACCCCACCTTTGTTATCATTTGCCATATTAGTCAAGATTTTCTTCGCAGATAATCAATTTTCTAGATTCTTCATGGCCCACAATGCCATTTTTCCCCTCTACCATCCTCACACTTGTGCTCCATACAGAAAATGAGGAAAGGGCCCTGAATTGCTTCTGTCACACCGCAATAAAAGGAAAAGAGATTTTAACAGAATTTGCCTTTTATGTACAACCTCTAAAACAGTTAACTGTGATTGCTAGTGTAATTTACTTGGAGAAATCCACCACATACCTATTTATGTACTTTCTGATACATACGTGTGCATGCACATACAGACCATTTTATTGCATTGTTGTTTTAGTCTGGATATGCATGCAAACAAGCAAAACTGCATTCCATATCAAATCTTAAGTTACCACTAAAGAAAACAGTTATTAACACATTTCAAAGGAAATGTGTAATTAAATACAAGGAAAAATTTTGGCCCAAGTTGTTGGCATGCAGTGTTTTACACTGTCGTATCAATACCTTTGTCTATTATCATTGACTTTTCTCAATATCAACCAGCTGTAGCTCTTTCCTAGCATATTTATACCTTTTCTCTTGGCCTTAATTCAAAGGCCATTTCAGAGCAGCTTTAATATTTGTAGTCTCTATCAGTTCCTCATTTTAAGTTGAAGTAGTCTGCCTGCCTACTTTGACCCTCTACCTTTTTAGTTTCACTTCGATTAATCTCAGTTTTCCATCTTGACCCACCTCCTGTCTACTGCCACTTGTATATCCCTATCTTTAGCTGCCATTTACCTTTACAGGAGATCACTCTTTCCATGTATTGCTTGGCCTGTTCATGCATCTCCAAGTCTTTATTTTGTTTAGCTTAGAGACATCCCAAATCCAGTCATTTTCTTTTACTGTCTCCACTTTCCTGTCTCCCACTCTGTCCCAAATTTTTGGGGCTATAACATGGCAACAATGCAAATACACTAGTGCAGAACCAGCACATCTGCTCAACACATTCCTTTCATGTTACTGCATGCATAACTACAGCACAGTATGTTATGAAATTAGCAATACTGTCATTTCGTTAAAATTTGCTATTTTAACAAGCTTAATATCTTCTGAGATTTATCTGAGGGGTCAGATCAGATAGATATATTCTCATTTGCTTCCTATTTACAAATAACACCTTTTAAAAATTCACATAAAAGCACTTGTGAATGCGCATTTATACTAAAAGATACATGGTTAACAGTTCAGCATCCAGTATTTTGAACAGCTTTACCACCTCAAAAAAATGATTGTTTAAACCACAACCAGGATAATTAAGTTCCTTTACAATACCGTGAAGCCAAAAAAAAAAATCCAAACCCACACAAACCAAAAGAAAACCACACCACTGGTATACCTTCTTAATTTTGCACCCTTTTAGGGGTGGGCTCACAGTAGTGCTATGCCTCCATTTGCATCAACTGGTGTTGCTACAGAGACAAAAATACACAGTAGCAGAAGAGTGGGGGGTTACAATCAAAAAAAAAAAAAAGTATCAACAATAGCAAAAAGAACACTCTAATACTAGAACACTAGTATTTTTAAAGTCTTCAATTTAACCTATGCAAACATTTTACAATAGTTGTTAGTTAACATTCCCTCCAATGACAGTGACTCCAAATAATTACATCAAGAAGTGACTTCCAGGCTTCCCAAAAAATGCCTCTTCAATTTGAATGCAATACAACTGGTACATTGCCAAGGTGGGGGCTGGGCACCTAAGTGGAAAAAAATAACTTCAAAGGCCTTGGAAACATTAATGCAGAAAATGAGTTGCTTCTCTTACCTGATGAGAACTTGACACGTGCCAAATGAACTTCCTCCTGTGGGAAAGCCACTGACATGCAGCTCATTTGCATAAGTAGCATGAGCTACAAGTAGGCTTCCAGGTCAGCCATCTTGATACTCAGATCTTGTTTTGTTTACACAGCAGCATAAGTACTATTTTCCATCCAGCCTGAGCTATGCTGTTGTACCTCCCAGCCAGTAGCCTACAGCAGCTTGTTGCAGCGCACAGGAACTCCCACTCCCACACACAAGTGAATGAAGGTGTCAGGAGTGTCACTGCAGCTCACTGAGCATGCCACAGCCTCCAAGGGAACGTTGCAACTGCAAGTGTCCACAATCGGAACTCTTTGTGCTGCCTTCTGTGCTGCCAACTATTTAGCACTGCAGCAACTATGTGCAGCGAGGTACCTCCCACATACCACACGGTAGTACCAACAAGCATAAATTTATTACAGCTCAGCATAAGACAGCACACTAAAACCAAGAAGCAAGCTGAAAATCTCCGCCGTGTTTTGACACACTAGCAATCTAACCACACCGAGATTCCCTTGTATGCCTTTCCAAATTCACCGGTGTGGCTTGCTTTGCCCAGAAACCAGACTGCTCCTGCAATCCCTGCAAAGGAAACTCCAGGACACATGTTCCTTGCTGCCGAGGCAGAGACAGACTGCAGTTACAGCTAGCTGGCGCCAGTGAAAATTTACATAAAGGGGGCCCCAGTTCAAGAGGGAGCTGCAGCAAGATGCTGCCAGGCAAGGCTCGGCCCCCCCCACCCCCCTCGCTCCCCCCAGGGCCCCCAGAGACAGCCACGAGTTCTAGAATATGGAGGCTACCCTATCTGCTTACTAACAGTCCAGAGCCACACCAAAAGTCAAGTGGTAATCTCAGTGTTTATAAAAACTGTCTGTGGTCTCTGCAAAATAAATGCCCCCTTGAAAACAGGTTCCTAGCAGAACTGCAAAATGCTGCACTGGTCAGGAAGGTTTTGGTAAGTGTTTTGTTCAGCGTTATGCAAATCACTATAAATGGCTATGCATATGCAATCAGCTTCTCTGTAACTGGTATTTCCAATAATTCACAGCCTACCAATAACAAGGAACTGTAGCCTTCAAAGTAGAGCAATTCGGTTTTAACCTACTGACGACAGGTAATGTGCCTGGCCATTTCGTTAATTTACTGTTAATACTTCACTCACCCCCGGCCCACCCCCCTTCCCCGGGCAGGTGGAGCTGTGGGCTCTCTCTCCAACTACCTAAAAGGGTATAGTGACAGGTAGAGAGAGCAGCTTGGATTTCAGCGTTGCTCCAACTTCAAATAGTTAATTTCTTAATTCTTGCCTTTTTCACTTCCAGTCATAAACCCTTTTACTTTAACAAATAAGTTATATTTTACAAATGCCTACTCTAAAACTCACCTTACTTATTGGGAAAAAAAATAAAAACTAAACCAGGCTTTCCTTACTATTAAATTTGTTTATGTAAAAGATGAATCATTCTCCGATACCTTCCCCTCCACATGTGTAGCCTTATGAGAAACTCCTAGCATGTAACACAACTCAAGGCAAATAAATATACCATTTATTATATTGCTTATAAATATGAATTTGCAAACCCTGAAAAAAAAATTATGTTAAACCACAATAGTGTTGGGCTATGCATTTAGCAACACTGCTGTACTTGCAGCATTGCACCATTCAGTGGCATATACAGGGAAGAGGGAAATGATGGAGACAAATGCCTGACAATTTGAGTAGGACAAAAGCAGAGCCACCTCAGGACCAGGAAAGCCTGCTTTGTGCTCTTGGCCTCTTTTGTTGCCCACATTGCTTCTCTCCAGGATGCTAACAGTGCCAGGGATATATACATAATCCAATTACTTTGAATGTCCCTTTTCCACTGTGGAATTACAATTTGCTGTATGGCTGGTTCTAGGTTATTTCAGCATAATGCAGTTTGCTTATCATAACATCACAAACACTCCAACTTCATGTCAAAGTATTTAGTAATGCAAATTATTATTCTTTGGTTGTTACATTTCAGGCTTAGATGTTGTATCCAAAAACCTGAAGAGATGTGCAAAGGAACAACTTTTATTTTCCCACAATTACTGTCACATTACAGTAACAGCCATTAACCATGTAAGTGATCTGGTGTTTCTCATCTATTATTTCACATGCATCTTTTGATTTATATTACTTTCAGACAGATTTGTGTACATTAGCACATTTAAGCATTGCGCAGAATACATCTTTCAGTGATGCTTTTGTCATTTGCAGAATGAGTCATCAGCTGAACAGGCTCAGTCCTTGGAAATAAAAGGCACCAATGCTGCCTTAAAAAACACACAGGCAAAACCTGAGCCTCGCGTTGCCTACATGCAGTTACACACACACACCAGCTCTACTGCCTTATGCACATATTCCAGCACAACACTACCATCCTCAACACTGAAAGAGACAGTATAAAGCCAGATCCTTGACTCAAAGCGTTTCTTGTCTCCACTCCAATCCACTCAGGGAAATCCGGGCCGGAGCTTGCAGGCAGCCCCGTGGCCGGGTTCTCCAGCTGCTGCCTGGAGGCGGCACCACCCCGCTTCCAGAACCTTCTGAGTGACGTCACACCCACTCCCGCTGCTCTGCCTTCTTGTTGCGCGGCCAGCTGGGGCAGAGGCAATTTTCAGACGCAGTGCGTTAACACACAGCGGGGTCATCGTCCAGAAGTACGCAGGCAGGCTGCCAGCAGCAGGGCAGAGGGCTTGCAGGGCCCCGCTGTGCCTCACAGAGGCTGCACGGCCGCCATCTTAGGGCCTTCCAAAGATAGGGTGGCTTTGGTGGTGCTGCTGGTTTCGAGTGTCAGAGTAACACTGGAGAAAAAACATTATCATAGTCCCTTCCATTCTCCATGGATTGCCATTACAAAATAACTAATAAAAGACTTTTTTTTCCTACATTCAATACAGTATATTAAAAAGTTTCTACTACTTTGCGTTCTCAAACAGCGGATGTTACAGTCAAAAGTATTAAGGCCAGTTGTCTTCAAAGTAATTATTATTAGCTGTATGCTTTCAGTTGGTAAATATGGTAGACAGTATCCTCATTTTAAATGTCATAGTTGATACATCTCAGAATAGAAAGGTACAGAAAAAAGTCTGCTACAAAATGATTTGTGCAAGCATTTCATAGGCAAAATTAGTCTTAAAAATAGTAAAAAATATAATGATGAAACCTGTCTTTAGTAGCTCAAAAGAAAAGTAAGTGGGAAAAAAGTCACAGAACAAGGGAAAACTCTTTAGGCAGTATATACGCAGCCCAAAACATCGCTTTTCCCTCTGACTTGGCCTTTTTTTCCCCCCAAAGTATGAAACTGAACAAGTCATTCCTGTAACAGCCAGAAACCTGGTAGTTCCCTAGCCCTTCTTGAGTTAGTCTTTGGACAGCACAGCAAATCATACTCATTGCTGTAATACATAACAGTCTGTCAAATCACATGCTTATCTTAACCAGCACGGTTTTACTTCAAGATATTTTACAGCAGAAGCCTGTAGCAATAGAAGGAGCAGGAAAGGCAGGACTAACACTAGTTGTATCTGTTTTTCTACTATATAAAAGGGGTTAGAAAACACTTAAAACAAGAAACATCCAGGCTGCACCACAGTAAAATGTGCTCCCTTTGCTTCAGAAAAGTAAAATACTGGTTGACTCCTTAGCAACCACAGAGAAGAAAAAGTCAATTTTACTCAAATTTACATGATTTTTTTTTTTAAACTTATTTACTGAATACTGAAAAACCTAAAGGCCTAAACGCGCAAGATGATGCAGGAAAAAAGAAAATACATACTTGTTTAACTCATAATCTTTAAAGACACTAAAATCTGGAGAAAACCATAGTAAATTTTACAGCTAAAAATAAACTTGAATTTTAACTGTTGCAGAATAATCATGATGTGATTAAGTATTTAAGATTCAAAACAGTTTTTAGTGCTCCACAACCATTTAGTTCTACTACTGAAAGAACCAATCAAGTCTGCTGTTTGAAAGTGATTTGCATAGATTAAAGAGTATTGCATTAATTCAGCAATCCATTCCAGTTTGGTTTGAATCCTGCCTGAGATTGTTTTCCCCCAGAATATCTTCTCAAATAGAAGACGCAGCTGTGCAAATTCAGACAATTTTGAGTTTTAAGAACACAGAAAATAATCAAGCCATGTTAGGATGGTTCCAAACTGCTACAATTTAGGAAGCAATCGTATGTTTGTTTGCTATATGAAGCACAAATGGAAAAGTAGAATAGTTTTCTTGAATACACCACTAGGAAAAAAAATTATAAACTCCTTCAGTGTTGCACATTTCTCTTGGAAATTCACGTATATTTGACACTGCTACCCTATTTGGAGTTTATTTCTGAAAGCCTACCCTTCAGGTATCAGCACTGCAAAACTAATTATTCTAGAATGCAGCAGGTCTCCAAAGTGGAGAATCTGTCGACACATCTCACATTTAAAATGCACAGCAATCAATTTAGTTAAGTTGATAATTCATTACACACAACTGTTTCTAATTTAGGTCATGCACATATAATTCAAATATTTAATAAATGTGCATCTTTGTACTCTTTAGAGTGCAGTGTTCACATGCAAGTAAATCAAATGTTTTTTGTTTGTTCTTCAGTAGTCAAAAAGGCAACTATTAACAACATTGGAGAGAGGTAAAGTCGTAGTGACAGCTACTAGTGTATTCTGCACACCAACCATTACTGTATACTTGGACTTCTGGAACAGGAATGTGTTCCATGTTAACACAGGTTTCAAAACCCACCATACTTTACGCATTCCAATGCCCACTTTAGGGAAGGAAAAAAAAGAAAACCATCCAAACAAAAAACCCCAATCGCATCACACCTCCACACATCTCACTACAACAGAAACACTCTATGCCTCCCAGTCATATCCTACAGCACTTCCAAGAATGATGTTTTTCAAAATGGCCTGTTATAAAGTAAACCAAAGAACAAAGGAAAAGGCAAACACTGTAGAGCCAAGGGGAGCTTTCCTCTGAACCCTGGCAATCTCTCTGGGCATCATGCTTTCTGTAAAATGGGAATAAGCTTACTTAGCTCACAGAAAGGTGTTTTTTTTTTTTTTTTTTTGTACCAAAAAAGGCACAAAAATAGTTGTGTGAAAGAAAGACACAGTGTACATGTAAGTTATTGTACTCAAATCTAATACATCTGAAGAACTACTCCTTACAGTGAATGTCAAAAAATATGTCACTTTCCCTTTTCATGTTCCCATAAAGAGGGGTTAACAAAAAACAGCAGAATCAATACTGTTTGACAGTTTTCACATGTATGTATGGTAACATATGTTTTAGACAAAATTTCATTCCCTTCAGTGACTACCGAGTAGGACTTCAGCTGTCTTATGATAAATTATTTTTCCTTGCTTCAAACAATGGTTTATTAACATCTGGAATTAATCAGCAACAATAACTGACAAAAACCATATAAACAAACCTCTGTAATCATTTTTAGGACAGGGGTCAGGATGACTTGACTCAGTATCTTGTAAGAAATCAGAAAGATTGTTTGGGGGATGGGAAGCAGGAAATCTCCTTA